CATAGGCAAAAATGGCCAAGATGACAGAACGTTACTGACATGAATGCACTCTGAGAAGGTTGCTGCTTTGTGGTGAGCGTAAACAGTTATTTCTTTATGAGCATGTGTAATCTGTGTTGAAGTTCACCTGCGTGTGATGCAAAGATTAATCAGACATATTACAGGTCCTCAGTTTTGGATTGATTTTACTGGGTAGGTTGATAAAGTGTGAGAAATTATCTAAGTCTTGAAAGATAAGAAAAGTTTAAAATGCATACAGAAATGCTGAGATGGTACTAACGGCACAGGGGCTCTACTGGAGACAACAAAAAATGAAAAGGCACAAAAAATCAAAGGGAAGAAAGCGCAGCTGGCAACATCATGCATCAGTACATTCCAAGAACAGCAGCTGACCTTTCCCCAGATGACTGATGTCAAATCACGCAGCAGAGATACATCACATATCTCACTGGGAACACTGAGCATATTAATACTTAGTCAAGTTACATATTAGCCCTGGTTATCTACTACATGGATTAGTGAATAAATTGAATCTGTGTATTCTGAAGTTGCACACATGCTGATTGCAAGATCTCTATGCACACTAACAGATGTCTTCCATGAGTCTCACTGTCCTGATCTGAAGTCAGACAGACATCTAACAGTTACCTGTGAAGCCTTTTGGCACTGATTTTACCCAATTGTGAAATACTTAATGAGACAATCAAAGAGAAAGCTCAAGCCAACAATCTCAGCCCTGAGTTTTAGAGTGAATTAGATTCAATCCAAGCTGTTTTATCTAGATTTACATAATTTCCAAATTACTTGCCTAAATAAAGTGCTCAAATTCAATATTAGTTACTGTCATCACTCCAGAATAACAAAGTCTGCTCTCTCCTTAAAATCTTTGTCACAAACAAATCTAGAATAAAAGTTATTTACACTTTATAGAAGATATTCAAGAAAATCTAACTCGAGAATCACAAATTCTGTCTTTCCACATGCTAGCATATTCACCACAGGCACTAGAGGTCAGTCTCATGGACAATGAAGGCTTTTGATCTAGAACTAAGCTGTGTACGTTTTCAGAAAGAATCTTGTGTAGCACAAATAATTCATGTATTCCAGCTTATGACCTACTTGTATGAGTTTTATAGCTATTGAACAGCTTTACTGCAGGTTAAGCATGATAGTTTCAAAAGATGAAAATTCAGGGAAGGAAGTAAAGATTAGAAAAAGAGAGAAAATTGAAACTAAATAAAAGTAGTAAATACTCATCAGAAAATAGAAAGTCTTGAATAGATTAAACAGAAGAGTAGTTAGACCAAGGAAATTCAAAGGAAATCTGGCAACCAAATCCTCCAGCAAATCAATGAATTACATCAGTTTCCCCATAAAATCTTAAGTTTCCCTGAGAAACTGTGCGCCAAAAAAGAAGTGTTGAATCTAAAACCTCCAAAAGAAGGGAAATGTTTTTTTTTAAATGAATTTCCTAACTATTCTCCTTTATTTTATTATGGTTTGCAACAAAGTCTCTCCATCTGTGGGTAAACTGAATTCTTTTTGAAAATAGATCACCAGGTGTGCTTCATTTACTCAGAACTGCATAATGCATGAGATCAGGCCTGAAAGAGAGACATAGAAAACCTCCATAATGCATGTACTTTAGATGTCAGGTCATAAGCATCCATTTCGGGCAGCACATCCACCACTGCTGTCTCACTCTATTTGTTAATGTAAACATAGTTTAACTGACCCTCTTATAACTGAATAACCTCAGCAGTTCAGAAAGATATTTATTTTTTCTCCAGCTAATTTCATTATTAATAACAGTTTCTGAAGATAAAAACAGGGTACAACTTTGTATAAACATATTTTGCTTCGTCTTTTTACTGCTTGAATGCCCCTTTCCTATGGGTTCTATGTTATATGATACTGACTGCTTCCTGACACAACCTCAGATGTAAGATATGAAGTATTAAAAATTACTCCATGTCGTCAAAAGTGCTTAAAACATGTCTACATAAAACAGTGAAGAAAGGCAAAAGAGTATTATTTTCCAACTTCATTTCAAAATATTCTGCTAAAATGGAGAACTATTTATCATAGATCATTTTTCTAGCTCTTTCAGTCATTTTGTGATAATGAAAGCATTGTAAAAGAGAAAGAGAGGGAGTGTACAGACTAAGAAAACTGGGAAAATCAAGTGTGTTATTTTCATTGTCTTTCCATCTTTAAAAGCAATCACAAGTGAAAAAAATAGAAAAACTTATACAGAATTACTAGAAAAAGAAAAAATAGATGCAAATAAATACAGAAATAAAGGACTGTATTGAAAACTGACCTTTCAGGAAAATGGCCTGGAGACATGAACAGAATTTATAACCTTTCTTAGTTGGAATTAGTTTAAAAGTTAAATTATCCATAATCATAGCATACTGCAAATCATAAAAAGTACACTAAAATGCTTTTGCAATTATTGCCTAATAAAGTATGAAACAGTAATAGTAGTAAGCTTCTGAAGTGCATACACAGAATTTTAGTATCTCATATTTAATTGCCAGGCAGTTATTTGTTGACCTTACAGAGCATACATTTATTGAATATATATTAGTCTGCCTTCCTTAGTACTTGGGAAGTTTATAATAAATACATTTATTTTACACTATAGAAATGTTAGAAGGCAAAAATGAAATAGCTCCTCATAAAGATCTCAATAAAAAAAGGTGAGGAAAGAGATGATCATGCAACAAGTGAAAAGCCAGCATTAAAATGCAGAAGTTTCTAAATATACACTACAAAAATTATGATGAAATGTGAAGAGAGAGATTTAAAAACTTGGTTTTTTGTTTGATGCTTCAACAAGTCATTCACAATAGTCAAACTTCTTGATATCCTGGAACATCTTTGAGTTATGCTAAGCCATGATCTGCCAAGAATGAAAGTCAAATGGAAAACAGGATCATAACTTCAGTATCAGGACCATTTAAGCTACAGCAGTATGTGTTACTGGGGAAGAGTCATAAGCAGTCCAGCTTGTTGTTTGTTTTTTTTTTTTAATTATTATTTTGGAACATAAATTTGAGCCTACTTCACTATTTCTGAATTTCTACTTTCAGTCATTGCATTAGTCAAAATAGGTAGCGAAGCAAGACAAGTAATAAATTAGCAGCAAGCAATCAAGTTTTTTTCCACAAGTGTACATAAGTACTCAAGCACATAAAATGATGTAGTAATCATATTGTGGCAAATACAGTCAGAAAAATATTTGCTTTCAAAATGTTTTCATAGTATTTTTAGGTAAGTAACAGTGCAAACGCAGTTTTTCTAAAACCTGTACCTGATTCACACTTCATCTACTGCTTATGTAAATTTTTACTTCTTATTCTAAATCCTTCTTGCTATATCCCTCAGAAATAATGCTGTGACATAGGAAGTTTCAAAGAGTGAAAATAAAGAGTTTGCTACATTTCCTACTACAGAAAGGTGTATTCAAGTACAGCTTCAGGAAAACCACTGTATTTGGCAAAGTTTTGAACAAAAATGGAAACAAGTAATCCTCTTTTCTTTTTTCTAACTCACGTCCTTAATTAGAGTAAGATATCGTCTCTGAGGAAAGTGATATGGCTATTCTGATATCTGTATTAACATGCAATTCCACAAGAGAAAGAAATGGATACAACAGACGCAATTGTATGAGATACTACCAAAGCAGAATTATATATTTAATATATGGTTTAAGATATGAATACCATCATATACATCCTATCATATACAATCTGTAAAATTTTGGTAAAATTACAGCACTAAAGGCAATTAACTACGGCAGTCTATCTCGGATCAGATGTGATTGAAAATATCATGTAAAATCTAGCTCAAAAGCTCTGTGCAAATAATTTAATTCTTTCCAGACAGTTCAAGTTAATAATTTCTAGATTTTATTGTCACGTTTGAAACTACCACAAGCAACATACGAAAATAGAGAAAATAGTAATTTTCAATGAAAACTATATCATAGAAAAAAAGAGTTCAAAGGACAGGCAAGTCTGAAGAGGAAAATAAACATATCAAAATAATTGTGAATTCTTATTTTGCTTTCTATAAATTCAGTAAAATGTAAAGTAGTCATCAAATGCTTAACACATTTATTACTGTGATTTCTTACCCCTTTCTTTTACCCTTACCTGACTCTTCAAACAAGCAAACATTTTGTTTTAAAAAGAATTTCTTACTAATTACACGTTTTTCCTTTCTGGTGCTTCAAGTTTTAGGAGACAGTAACTTACTGTGGGATTTCCTAACAAAGAACTTTAAAGAAGCTGTTCAGTTTAAATTTAATTCAGAATTTTAAAGATTTCTTTCTTCTACATGATTGTTCTAAAATACAACTTTACTTATTTGAATTTAGTCTCCTAATTCAGAGCATCTTCTAGGACTGCATCAAGACTACAGTACTGTATGGGCTCATTCACCTTTGCATATCATAGATGTAGTATGTATTATGGGGTCAGGCTACAGCCCTCTTGTTTCTTATCACAGAATCACAGAATCGTAGGGGTTGGAAAGGACCTCTAGAGATCATCGAGACCAACCTCCCTGCCAAAGCAGGTTCCCTACAGCAGGTCGCACAGGTAGGCGTCCAGGCGTCCTTTTATTTGTAATCATTATTCCTACAAACATTTGTGTTTTGATGGTTAAGACATTATTTATAAAAGAATTCGTTTTTCAAAAGTCTAAGCAAATCATTGCAGAGGTAAGAGAAAAGTAACCATCAAAAATAAACAAATCAAACATGATAAGAATTTTACCGGATGAACCTTTGATTTATTTTTATTTTTTAAGTAAAACAAACTTCAGTTACATTGGGCTAATTCTTATTTTCATGTCAGTCAGATTCAGTGCATCAAATGGAAGAGCTGTGCTTAATAAAATGCTGAATTTTATATAAACTCTAGATTTGACGGACCATAAAAGATGACACTTTGTAAAAATTTCCAAGTATAGTACAATAAATTACATACCTCGTGTATTTTTGAGTAAAAGGTGGAAAGCAGATTCCTTACTGGTTGACTCAGAAAGAACGGATGCATTGAGATAACAGCTGCACTGCTCCCGATCTAATGAGAAGAGAAACAAAAACAATCCACATTCAGGGAAACTCATTTAGAAGTTAAAAGTGTTTTAACATTTTCCCTAACAAGAGAGATTCAAAGATGGATGTTTTGAAAAATACATTTGCAAATGGAAAGATAAATAGAGCTACCATATGGATTTTTTTCTTAAATATAATTGAAATACAACACTCTACCTAGAAAAGCAAAGTTTAAATCATTTGCAGTTAAACAATATCCAAATTAGCAAAGACACTCTTTTTTAGATAACAAAAACAATGTGCATTTTATAAGTCTCAATCTTAGTTTGGAATTATTTTGTGTGGAAATGAGATGACTGAACCACTGTGCATGAAATCTTCTCTGGGAAATAAAGCAAGTCTTAATAATCAATAATATGAGACAGCTATTTTAATATCACTGTGCATACGCCTGTACCAAAAGCAACATTGTATGCTGCCACGGGTACTGGTTTTGATAAAGCAGATAAGATTGGATTCCAAAAGGGAACCAATTTCACATACCCAATTCCTAATTATCAATGTAACTTTAATATTTTATTTGATCATGGCTCTTCAATCTTTGAAGTGAATGTCCTCTAGAAAACAGTTGCAGTTTTCTGTGTTAAACTTTAAAATATACTCTGTCCATTAAAAACATTAAATTAAATTATCCACGTCAACTGAACTAAAGTGTTCTAGACGTTAACTAACCACTAGTACCTAGGGGCAATTGTTATAGACTCTGTGGTTGAATATTCACTGGCAATTTCAGTATTATAAATCATATATTAGTTTTGTTGCTTCTGTAACATCTTGGTAGAAAAATTGTATAGCAATGTTCCCACAGCAGCAATTACATTCAGCTTGAAACAGGTCAACTATTAAAAACCATCTGCAATGAGTTCACGTATTCTGTAACTCTGATCACTGGTTCAAACTGGGACAAATTACATCCTATCAGGTAAGTATTACTCCCACAAGCATTCTTAATGTAGCCATGAATGTTTATGTAAGAGCAGCAGATTTAAGCAACACATATGTATAAAGTTCCCAGGAAGAAAAATTCTTGTTCATAGTTGCTGTCAGGTCCACAATTTCATACCTTCATCAAAAAATCTCTAATGGTGAGTGGTTTTACTTGTTCTATATTTATCCAAAATAAAACCCTCTTTGCACTAAAATATCATTCAAAATTCACAGAACCGTTTCTGAAGAACAATGCTCTTGGGTTTGACAAACCTTCACAAATGAAAATACAGCTTCAGAAATGGTCCAATTATGCACTTCCAATTAATTCTGTTTTCAATGCTAAACTATGCAATTCTAAACATATTTTTGAGTCTGTCTAGGCAAAAGATTGAAATCAAGATACAGCTAGTGTCTGAAACTTCTTTAATTTCTTTTTCTTCTTTTTTTAAAAAGTAAATCTTTAATAGTTTATGTTTGCTGTTTTACAATTTAATTGAAATGTCCTATTTTCGTTCTTGCCACCCTGAAGAGGTACATGATCTGAAATACAATTTCAGATCAAGATCAATCAAACATTTCATTCTGCATTCTGACTTGCTACTTTCTGCCAGTTTCCCCATTCTGTTCTCTCTCTCGCCCCCAATAACTGTGAGAAGTTCATCATGAGATTTAATAAGAGAATGCATCCAGTAACCTGATCCTATGCTAAAAATTTGGCTAAGACGTTTACGGATGTTAGCTGCATGATTTTAAATTAATAAGCTTGCAGGTTCAAGAGCTGTTCTCAGAGACACTTCCAAAACTACTGTGAATTTGAGTTACCTGCTGACATAGATATTTTTACTCTATGGATTTTTCAAGAAAAAAATAACAGAAATATTTGAGAATTACTAGGCTGTCACTGTCTCTTTAAATATCAAGACTACCTTTCTTAGATTAGAACTCCTAGTCTAGTCCAGTAAGTCAGATGGAAGGTTACTATCATTATGTTTGAAGTAATAACATTATCCTTCCTGATCTGTTTGTGCTTGATCCAACAGCAAAAAATATGTACTTCATGCCAAGTCAAATTAAAATGAAGTATGGAGCATCACAGCATAGGTAAGAAATGTAGTTTTGTCTATAAAACAGGAATGCATACGGTCTTCAAATACTGTTAATTTTGGACATCTCATTAATAAACTGACACAAGCAAAATAAACAGAAAAAAAAGTTCAGAAAGAGAAAATTCAGAGCTACCAAAATTCAGCTCTTGGCAGAAAAGGAAGTGTACTAAAACTAATGTGTTTATACTAGGATTACATTCTCACCTGACAGATTAGCACTGTGGAATGGCAAATTCATTCTTAAGGTTGAGAAAAAAAAAAACAATCAAATGAATTAGCTTCTACTGCACACTATGCTACCATATCTGTATTGCTGTGGTATCTACAATATCTGAATTTGTGTATTGAACTATAGCTTAACAACAATAAAATTCAACTAAATGTAGAAGTCATTATGAAAATTATTTTCCAGATCATGTAAAAACCAGAAATACTAAACAAAACATTGCATGTGGGATCAGATTTCTCCTGCTCTGAAAAGAAGGAAATAGGTTTTGTGGCAAATGATTATACAAGGAAAAAACCATACAGTGCACAAACTCTTCTAAAGACAATATGAATATCTTATTATGATCACAAACACGCAAACGGTATTTACAGGTCACCAGCAGCAACTGAATTAGAAAATTAATATTATTAACATTACAGATTAACCTGATTAACAAATTCAAAACAGTTTTTAGAGGACAAGCACAGGTTTAGTTCCATAAAGATGACATTATAAATTAATTTTCTCAAAGAAAATTCTTAGTAACTCCACAGATCACGTGTACTGATTTGTACAGTAAAATAGACTGCAAACTTCTGATGCATAAAAGCCAACATCACTCTTCGACTAAGCTAGCTGTTTCCACACTGTCTCTATTAGTGAAAATCTCCCTGGGACAAGTTGATGCTCCAGTTAGAAAGATGACCACATTTTCATTAAAAACTTTATGCAATGCAAGTTCTACTGATGTCCCTTAGAACATTGCAATTAGATTAAATCACAGTACATTTTAGAACCAATGTTTAAGCTCTGTAAAACATTTATGAAGATACTGCTTTGAGGAGAAGTTTGTCTGTCATTTTCTATTCTTGTATGAATAGTAGATTAGACTAGCTTTCTTAAAAATAATATTTAGTAGGAATAAAGTTGTAAACTGTGCTATTTGGCACTAGATTTATGCTCAAACCACACAGCTTGCTTATCTTAATCTTTCTTCTTGGTACAGATCAGAATACCAGCTTCCATTTCACACGCTGCACTCAGTGATGTGCAGTGGGAAGCTTCATGTCATATATGAAATGCATATCTTCACTTCAGGAAATAACATAATCAATCAATTTCTGATCACATAGGGTGGGTTGCATAGCTAGAAATTCATAGTAATTCTTTAAGTGTAATTAAGTGTAATTCTTTAAGTAATTCTTAAGTCTGATCTGAGATACATATACTAAGCACAAAGGGGAGATGGAATGAGAAATACAAAGGAAGGAAGATTGCATTACTAGTAACATTAAAAGTTTATTATATTCTCACCTGCCCCCAGGTTGATGAGTAGATGAGCAGGAGCAATTAGAAAAAAGAGATGTTCCAACAACTAATCAAGGTTCCCCTGGACTGAAAGTCTGCCACTCATACTGTCAGACACTGTACCCAGTTTACCTTACACACTGTGTCACTGTCCATATAATTTATAAACCTGTGAATAATATGAACCTCATTATCAGTCCTTGGAGTACAATGTACATGAGCAGCAGAGGACCACAAACTGCTGATCAGTATCCTTCGAGACCAGTATTCAGCCAAGCTTTCAACCTACTCAGCAGCCCAATCATCAAGACTGGACTTCAACAGCTTCCACATGAGAATGATATAGGTAACAGTAACAAAAGTCTTATTAAATCATAGTATATTGCACACTGCTCCCCCTCCATCTGCATAATTAGTCGTTTCTATGTGCAAGGCAATCAGGCTAGTCATTATTTGCAGTTAGCATATCCATTTGACTATTTCTGATTACCTTCTTGACTTTCATGTGCTTGGAAATGGAGTGGAATGTGCTGCACAGAGTACAAGACGATGTGTCTAATTCTAATGACCCTATCAGGGACTGAAGTGAGACTGATCAACCTACCACTTCCTCAGTCTTTCTCCTAACATTTTAAAAGAAAGGAATAACATAACTTTTTTCCATTTATCGGGGACTTCTCCTGGTCAACATGAATTCTCCCTCACAATCACACTGGCCAACTCTTTCATAACTTTATGAATTTTATCTGGACTTGTGGATCTGAATGCATAAAGCTGCTCTAACTAGTCTATTGCCTATTGCTTCCCTATAAGCTGCCCATCTCCATTTCAAACCACATTAATACATGCCCCTTTGGCAGCAAGTTTTGACTGTTATTTGTTTTTCAGCTTCAGTTTAGTAACATTTAATTGTATTACTCTAAAGAAATTGTATAGTATATGGCATAGATCTAACAAAACTAAGGTGTCATTGCAGATCTAAGCCTAGGAACCAACAAGAATGCAAATACAGTAAGAGGTTTTTGGAAACGTATCATCAATTCAAAATGATGGCTCAGAAGAACTTACACCAGATTCTCAGGAGATCTCTGAGAAGTCTTTTTTATTTTCAGAATCATAGATCAAATAAAAATGGTGACCATGGCAAGCTTATAAGAGACAATCAGATGTCTATGATTGTTATTGCAGGGAGACTTCCCATGGTGGTGATTCTATAAGAGTTTATTTCACTAGCAGATTGGAGAACTGCACTCAATTTTCTAGTGTGTGATGTAGTTAAGTTTCTCAAGTCTTTGTATTTCTAATTCACACCTCAAAATTTGTAATTTATCCAATCCGAATTCACTGCAACTAACAAACATGAATCTGCTTTTTTTTTTTTTTTTTTTTTTTTTTTTTATTTTGCATTTCTTCACTTATTCTATGCACTACAACCTTCAAATCATGGCATGACTCTAGAAAATCCAACTTAAAATTTACCTGTGCATGTTTGACTTCGTTATTCTCTTATGCTTATGTTATTAATTTTGTAATTATGTTATTCTCTTATGGAATCTCCTAATGTCGAAATACTAGAAGTGTAGTTCAGAATAAACAACCAGCTACACGTACACATGAGTGCAGGATACAAAAGGTTACAGGGTTATGTTATTTCCCAGCTCAGGCAACATAGTGGGTACATGTGAATGATATACAGTACACTTGTTGCTTACAAATGGAATCAGACAAATGTAATCCTGTCTCACAGACACTGCTAATGAAGAAGCTTACCTCTTCCAACCCAAAAACAATACTGTACCTTTTAGCACGACATCTACTAACACATTTTCAGAAGTTGGATTTTTGAAGGTTATGATGACAGAAGAACCCTGGCCAATGTATGCACTTATGGTAGTTGGTTCCATCAACTGAGGTGGAATACCAGTCCCCGAAAGGTAAAAAATCCATTCCTTAATCTGTGGATGAAATCTGTGTCATTATTTATTATTATTAATTTGTTATTTGACCAGTCAGAACTATACTATATAATAAGGCAAACTGTTTATTTCTTTCTTCTAATATTCTACGTCTCTTTTCTGTTTTGAGTGATTTTTAACACTTTGATTGTTTCTTCTTCCCTGAAGCTATCATGTACATGTGTATTGCTATCTAGAAATCAATAGTTCTGTTGAAGACTTTTCATATGAGACCTTGGGAGATGCTTACATTTCTTTTTTGTATGTAACTTTCATGCTAGTCAGAGCTTTCACCTGTAGTGAATGGAAATATGTGAGTGATTGCAAAAGGGCAAGTCAAAGCACATATAATAGAAATTGAAAGGGCATTATATGATAAGTTTTCTTGGGAAGACACAGAATGAAGGGAAGTAATTCACTGATGGAACAGCAATATAATGTTACTTGAAAGATAAGAAGGAACATTAACAACTATATAATGAAGAAATTAAACTCCTTGGCCACCTGGGCATTTTGCTGGCTCATGTTCAGCCAGCACCTCAAGGGCCTTTTACTTCAGGCAACATTCCTGTTGCTCCCTATACCCCATTCCCTATACCACAGCATGGGTACAAATACAGCACCAGGGATTTAGCCTTGTTAAATGCCATGAGAAAGGACTCTCTCCACCAATCTAGCTCACTCAGAGCCTTCATGCTCTCAAGCAGATTGAAAGTCCTGCTTAATTTGGTATTATCCATGATATCTTCATTGTTTTAGAAAGATTCACTCGATACAAGAAGAAAAAAGATTTTTTAACCTTAATGAAATAAACTTATTGGTAAAAGTCAGCCATGTCTGAAGTATTTAAATAGAAGTAAGGAAAAATAAAAGAGGAGAAAGCCTAGTTTTGTCAAGCTACTGGTGGGTATACACTGGCTTATAATTGATACATCTTACTAGCTAACAAAAAAAGCAGTCACAGTAACCACAAGTGAATATATAAATAACTATCATATAACTATTACTACAAAATTCTTAATACAAGAGTTGTGAAAAGATACTAATCCAAAAATATTTTCCAGGCCCACCGTAAATTTGTGTGAACAACTTTGCTCACAGAAAGAAATTCTGCACTGTAATACTGTGAAAGGATGCATGTGTTCCTATTTTGTGCAGCTGAAATTTAAAGATCAGATTTGAGCTTTGCTGCTGAAGGCTCAGGCTCATGGTCTACAAATACAGAAGGCTGCAACTTCAAACTGCTCTTTATGACTAACAAGCAGAGACTTTTTGAACCCCACTGCTTCAAGTGCTGAGCACCTTTAAAACAACACTGAAGCTTTGCCAAACTGAGCTTTTAAAGAAAAAAAAAAAAAAAATTTAGAAGTCAGTTTGGAAAACAAAAGAACAAAAAATTCCATAGATTTTAAGATAAGCCTATTTCCTCTGAACTGCAGTTACTATTTCTACTCACCCACTGTGTGACAGAGCTCAAGATCATGAATGCTCAGTGCAAGAACTCATGAGGAAAGAAAAATGTTTGAAAAAAACAAACCTAGAAAATTAAGCAAATAACATGGCAGGACCTAGGCTCATCTTCACTCTAACATTACTTGCAACTATTAAATTCTTTATACTACACTTGAATTCTAGTGATATGATAGCAGGATAAAAGAAATACATCAGGTATCTGGGCATGAGCTATGTTAAGGCTGACATTTCTGTTGTCCCAGAAAAGTTGATTTTAGATTTCACAAAATACAGCACAGTGATTAGCACTAAACTCAGATTCATTTTGTGAAGAGCTTCTAGAGCGGCTTCAAACTAGAAACAAATGAAGCAAGTGATATCACAGAGCAGTCTCTCTCAATCCAGCCAAGCACAATCAGAAACAGTTAAGGCTTATGCTATAAGTACTGTCATTAACTGATTTTTGATTAATCAGCTATTCAGCTTTCAGGTGGCTTAAGTGTCCATTTGGATATATTTAATCAGAGAAATCAAAAGAGGGAAAACAATGTAGATTACAAGTTGTTTGAGGCATTCACCAATAACAAGAAACATTCTTTGATAATGGCTGTTATAAATGCAAATATTCACTGTCAGTTATCAGTATAACTATTAGCAAACTACAATAACCTAGAACTAATTTAGTAAGAATTGTAGCAGTGAAAATGAATGGAAATTTACAAAATTCAAAAGATTCGGGCATAAATAGATCACTAAAATTTAGATACTGAAAACATTAAAGGGACAAAGCAGCTAGAAGGACTGAGATACTTGGAGACTTGTGACTACTTGAAAGGAGATGCACTGAATGACAAGATTGAGGTGATAGGGCTCAGTTTGTTCCTGAAAGGTTTAGATGAATTATTTGAATGCTTTTTAACATACAGGTAATACTTCTGTGTACCACTACAAATCAGACAAGACAGTAGCATTTTGTGCTCTTGAACGGGTCTTGAACACACACTGTTCTCAAGAGGATTGCTGACTCCTTGTCTTTATCGTTAGTAAGTATTTAAGAGGAGAGATCCTGAAAAAAATTGTTTTGCTGACAGCACCTACAAATAATCTCTTACGAATGCTTTAGCGAGGAAGAAATTACCACATCATTTCTATCACTGCTTATTTTCTTCATACAGAAAATGTCCTTTTGCTGTATCACTTAAAACACTACTGAAAAGTTCTGGTAGCACTCAATTTGAATAATTCACAGCTCACTATTAAGATATCTGAGAGTACAAAAAGAATAAAGAGAAGAAATAGTGTGCACAGGAAATGCTTCATTCAGCTCACGTGAGGAAATATTGATGCACCTATCATATTATCAATTTTTATTTTTGTTTCCAGATGCAATTTTCAGTCACCTAATAGGTCACATTGATGATTCATGTTTCTTAATTTAGTAGTTATTCATTAATAATCAGGAAAATGCACAGAGAAAAAAAATGCCAACTCTTCTAAGACACTCAAAATAAAAAATACTTCCAACCAACCTGAAAGGATTAAGTGTCAGATGTATGACCTTTAAAAGTTCATATCAGACTGAAACAATTCAAAGTTTTGGAAACGCATCAAGAAATTTAATTTCAGAGGCTATAATACTAAGAAATGCCACTGTGGCGGCACTAAATACAGACCAACTGTCTAAAATCAAGAAAGCTAGTAGTAGTATTCATTACTAATTCAAGATCCTAGTCCATTACCTCAAATTCTAAAAGTGTAAACAGAACATCTTTGCATTTACTCTTTCATTATGCATTCCGCAATTAAATTTCAACTTGACCTTCAGATTGAAACCTACACCGACATGCCTGTTTAAAAGTATTATCTATTCTGAATTCCATGTGTTGTGAGCAGCAAATATAGTATCATACCTGAGAACATTTGAAGGTTATTGATGCTTTGTGATTTCCGCTTCCTAGGGCAGATGGACAGAATTGCACAGGTACTTCGGTGGTGGAATGAGGAGCAACAATTATCTGTACAAATGTAAGACAGAGGTCAATGAAAGGAGGGAAGGCCAAATTATTTTGAGTCAGTTTCTCTTTTGTGCTTTGTATTGACAGTGCTGATGTTTATGTAATTAATGTGTTCCACCAGATTCATTCTCTACTTTCAGCATACATTGGCTACTAAAGTAGCAAGTGTACTGCAGTAAACAATCTTAGTGGCAGTCACTGCACGTTCATTTATTTCCCAGAAACTGCAGAGGTGGTGTTACTGATTGCTCCAAGGTCATGGACAGCGGCTCTCACAAATACCAGTCGAACATGGCTTCAGTGTCTGAGCATACTGATGATGCTAAAAGGTTATCATATTGACCTCCAAAAACAAATTGCCCTATAGGGCAAATACATGTCAGGTTTCAATAAGCTAGTGCTTTGCCTCTCTTCCTCTTATCTTAATCTAAACTAATATTGGAAATGAAGTTTCTAGTTTTCTCTTCTTCTGAAGTACACTGAGTCCCAGTTGCATATGGAAAAGTAAAGTAGCTGAGTACAGTGGGGTCATAAATGTTTTGATGAACTAGTAAGAAGTGAAAGAATAGACTCATGAATAATAAAAATACTGTTGCACTGACATAACGATCAGTTACAATAACTGAATTCACAACATCTGTATCTATGTTTTGTAATAAAAACGTCCTGGGTTTTTGTTATCATGCATATGTTTAAATGTCTGTGAGTAAAAAGACATAACAGATGATCGATTTGAATGGTTATAAAATGAATATCGTTTACAACTAATAAAGGTCAAAACATCACCTCACAATGGCTAGCGCTGAAAAGCCCTTTCATAAAGGAAATGTCGTGCCTGGAAGAATAGGCCACCAAATAGCACTGAACATGAGTTACCAAAACAAGGGCTTCCACCAGCAGCCCCAACCCACTGCACGCACAGGCAGTAAGTAGAGCCATGATAGGGATACAGTTTATGGCCTCCTGAGGCTCCAGGGCTCCTGGACACTTTTATGGCTCCCAGGCCAAGCCAGGGCCCCTGGTGGGTGTAGCAGGGAGAAGTGTGCTCTCTTGCCCTGGGGCAGAAGCCCTTAATGAAGCCTCTGCTGCTCTTCCTCGCCACCTTGTAGCTCTCAGACAGTTCCAATACACTCAGGCAGTTCTAATTTCACAGTTTCCACAGCATGATAATCATTGTTTCTGGAACCATAAGCTTGTGCATCCCACAGACAGTACGATGCTCACTGCACTGGGCCCACTGCTACTCCACTGTCACAGCACCTGCACTTCCCATCTGCACAGCTCAGTGCCTCTGCATCGTCCACAATTTATAAAACCTCATATATCCAGTAGGTGGATGATAACTTTAAAGCACATCTGTCATCAGCAAACAACTGCCACCATCCTGTGACTGCCACTTCTGCAAATCTTCTCTGTTACCCCAAGAAACAGGCCTGAAGGAAAGACACTTTCCACAGTCCATCCCCATTTCCATCTGCCCAGGGTTCATTTAGAAGCTCATCATCTAACAGGAGACTGAACAGCTCATTAAAAAAAATAATAATAATAAAATAAAAATCAAAAACACATTGAAGTTAAATAACAATTTTTTTAAAAAAAAATTTTAAAGATAATCAGCATGTCATGTTCCATATAAAGCAGTTACAGGTTTCACTTGCAATTATTTATCAGTTTACAAGTAAGTAACAAAGCTGCTTCTAGTTACATGAAACTGTCGAGAGACTGAAAGATTTCAGATTTTTTTTAGACTTCATTAAGAACCTGAAAGTTCAGGAATACTTGAGGATAATTCATTTGGGTATCAGAAAAGAGTATCATTAATGATGTCAATACTTAAAATAAATGTGTTTAAATAAGAAATATTAGTCAAAATTAGGTTTTAGGCAATCTCTAGGAAATATAGATTTTTCTCTCACACTTTTTTTAACTTGGCTCATCTAACACAGCTCAACTTGAGACTGACAGCCCAGTCCATGGTTGTGTATCAGAAATGACATAACAAAAAATAAGAAATACTGAAAGTACTGAACTACACAGAATTCTAAAATGACTCTACTAATTCTCTTCACACATTTTCTATTGGACAATCCCATCTTTCAACCGTTGTTCAAATAATTTGTTCTAATGGTTGTGTTTCATCTAAGGATCCCTCAAACCAGCTTAGCCTCAGAATGCTTATGTTTAAATGAAAGCATGGTTTAGAAAAACAGAAATTTGAATAATTAAGATAGGAAACTATTGAGTTTCACAAAGAGGTAGAAATAGAACTAAAAGTAAAAAGACACATTCTGTGACCTATTTATGATTACTATGAACCAATATCTGAAACACAGGTCACAGTTTATAAGAACAAGAAGTAATCTTTGGGAATCTAGAATAGACAAGGCTATCCTAAACCTACCATACGACACATTCAGGGGAAGAAACAGGTACTTAAACCCCACCCTCCACCTTCAACATAAAAATTGAAAGAACTTTCAATAGCTCTCCAAATATGGGCCTGCAATGGAATAAAATAAGGTAAAATGACAGATACACAGAATGAATATTAGGCAGTTGCTTAGAGTGTATTGTCCAAAACTATCCTTTAACTGGAAGAAAAACTAACTCAAAAAGAACATTTCAAAAATTCAATGCATAAACTACACAGGTCACCCCAAAAGTAATATCTCTTATTTATTTCCATGGAAAGTAAAACTGATAAAAGAGCACATTAACACTATTTGATAGTGCAAATTCTCAGCTATAAAACTCTATTTTTCAATGCAGTCACCATGAGCTATGCATTTTTGCCAGCCACGAGCAAGTGTCTACATGACATACTTGTAAAAATGTTCACCCAGTGTTGCTGGCACAAATGCTGAAACATGCCATCATTGAGCCCACATGCACTGTTCAGTCTTCATCAACGTTCAGCAAGCATTAATGAATGTCAGTGGGTGCCATTTTTTTCCACGTGGAGGAATTCAACAACACACCATTGCTTCACATACGCTTCTATGTCAGACATCATTGTGTCTGCTGCCATCTCTAATTCGGCAACAAAATGTAATGAGATATCGGTGGGAAGGTTCAACCTTTACTGCCATACCACCACCATCTGCCTCTAAGGCAGTGGGACAACATCATAAAATAGGAGACATTACTTTCAGAGCAGCCCTTATGTATTTATTACTGAATATACTATTAGAAAGTAAAGGAAAAAAAATTGCTGCTGTTAGTGTTGAATGTCTTTTCCTAAACAATGCAATGCAGTTACTGGTGATATGCAAATCTCTAGTAATAAATTAGGAAACCTGAACAGAGGATATATTACTTTTTAATTTCCTGGACAAGGTCACATGCAATCCACATGAATCAAAAGTCACTATAATTAAATCTACTCCACTTCTTAGGCTAGTGACCTAAATATGACATGTACAGTTCTCCTAGATGATTAATATAGTTTTCATCCATTATGTTTCTTAGTCATTACTTCCTATGTCAAATGATGAAATGATTATTAATACCACACGTCAAGACTGATATAATATTTGAAAATGTTAATGATCATAACATAAGAGATGGAGTAAAATACGCACTTCACATACTATGCATGCAAAACATATGCAATTCAATAAGTATGATTCTCTTCAGCTGTTGTCTTTAAGGCTACTATATTTGACACTAAAAGCTGTTCATTTTCCAAAAGCCAAAAACATACATATTATGGCTTTAGTGTATCACTCTCCTTTTTCTAAAAAAAATCAATTTACTACCTTCCCAGCTTTATTTTAGGACATTATTACAATATCAACGTCTGATTCCTCTGACCCTTATATCAGTTTGCACAAAAGTACCTGGTGTATTTATTGCCTGTATCATTTTTATTTATAGATAGAATACTTATGTCTAAAACAGATATAATTGCCATTTCTTTCCTTCCACAGAAAGTTCCTTCAGTTTCCTTTTTTCTCAATAAATGTTCTATATTCTTATGCTAGTAAGAGGTTTCCCATATTCCTTTGCACTAGAGTTTTCACACCTGTTTTTCCTTTTCTCATCTCCTCATCAAACAAAAGGACATAAAGTTAATATTCAGGGAGTTCTCTGAAAGACCTTTTTCTTTCCTTGGCTTATTCATTACTACACATGGTTTTTCTTTCTGGGAGATAAGTAGTTTGCAACATGAACACAATGTATATCATTCAGAAAAATCAGTTTGTGTTGCTCTAAAGATGTAGCCTTCTGACATCCTTTATAAAATTGCAAAGATGTCTTAAACTGTCTCTGATAACAAATACATATTTTTATTTCATCATAATACTTATTCTATGATTTAAATAGCAATGCCATATACACAAAAAAATTACTGGTTACTATTAAGCAGTAACCAATTGCAGTAATTAATGTTATAAATTCAGGGTCCCAACCACCTAGCACTCTAGCCAAATTCAAAGAAAATATGAAAATTCAGTCCATCCATACAATTCTCAGTTACTCCTTTCAAGGTCAAAGATACAACTTATCCAACATTAGTATTTTACCTTCTCATCTAAATATTTATCTAGTTATCCTGTTATAATACAGCTGCTTTGTTTACAATATCTCCTTCAAATGTTTTCTGGATATCAATAGCCAATGCAGCCCTCCGTAAATCCATACCACAAAGCATTAAAAAAAAAAAAACAAAAACCACACAACTTTTTTTCCTTTTTATATTAGCTTTCATCTTTAAAGAACAAAATCCATAGAATACATGTCTGTAATATCTCTAATCTTTGAGATTATCCTGTGTGTTCCTTCTACAGTATGGGTATGATAAACAGTTCAATGCCTTTTTACCAGAAACTTTTCTAAAATTACTTTTGTAAAATCTTCTCAGTTGCCTTTTATTTATTTTTTTTTTCAGTCTACTTACAGGATGCTTTGGATCGGTCTCAGTTGAAAAATTGCTAGGATTGCTGTTAGCAATTTCTAGTTTCAGAGTTTCATGTGTAGGATTAAAAAGAGGTATGTAGAGATGAACCCACCTGGAAAAAATACATGTATACAATGGCTATTAATAATTACAAACCTTCTGCTTCATTCTATTATTAATTAACCTCTTTTTTTTTTTTTTTAATAAGTTCCTTTAAAACTAAGAATTATCCTTTATTGCAATAGTATTTCACCACTAGTGCAGACACGTACTTAATATCATAAATGATTAATCACAGTAAAACTACTCTAATTCTTGGCGATCATTAAGGGCTGAAGTTGTTCTCACTCAACTTCAGTTTCCAGGAATTTGAATTAAGTTAGTTGATTAAAGGGGCTGTCTTGCTTCTTCAGTGCTTAGCTGGAAGAAAAACATTTTCAGAAACAAATGGTATCAACCTAATGTAGGTCAGTAAGATGTGAGATCACTTTTCTTTGACTACAGTAGCAACTCAGATTTCATATCTTGAAATTGATGCCTAACTTCTAGATAGAAGGGTGATTAAATGAATCACACTGCCTCTGGTACCTTCCCATTTATTTCTAAGCCCTAATTTGCACATTCATTTATAACTATTCTTTCTTAATTTCTATACATCTAACTTTGGATTCAAACATTTTAATCAAATAGTTAATTTAGAATGCCAAGGCTACCAAGAAAAAAAAAGGCTCCAAAAAGGAAAATCATTTGAAGTATGCCTTATTATTAAATAGTCTATACATGGACTCAGTCTGCTTCATAAAAAATGCTCTGCAAAGAAATTAAAAGATAATCAAATAACGATACCTATCTCACCTTCTGATCTAAGCGATGGCTTACATGAGAATCTTATAATTAAGTGGTTCAGTCAATGGCTTGTGATTTACAGCCATTAGGCAGTCATCACTTTTGGTCATCATTTAACACAGATCTCAAAAAAAATAAACCTCTATTTGAATGGAGGTGCTAATTGCTGTCCTCTCTTCTTCTGTATTGAATCAAAATCCATTTCATTTCATACAGTTGTTGAACTGATCATTACAGCATAATTATATATCAATTATACATGTAGATTATGTATTTTAATGAATTATGTGGCAGTTCACAACGATTGCAGTAAGCTGACTGTGTTAATATTATGTTTTGAATCAGCTGGCATTCTATCTAGTAGGTGGTCCTTCATTTTCTAATAAGGAAAGAAACCAACACAAAATATTCAAATAGGGTGCACAATTAATATATATATTAATTAATATATATTAATTTATATATAAAAATTATTATATTATATTATATTATATATAAATATGACCATAAATCACATTCTGGTTATAAAACCAAGGGAGGTACAAAAGAGATTCAAGGTGAATCAGTGAAAACAGTAAACAAAAATTTGAAAAATGAAATACATATATTGGTTTCGTGGTAATTTATCTGGCTAATGGATATTCCCTCTAGCTATGGCGGGTCAACTGCCAGATTGCTCCACATATTTATCCTCTGGAATAAATGACTCAGTTAATCATAGGCAAATCAGGAAAAGAAAAATACATATACATATATTTATATAAACAACATTCAGAAATGAAGACATTTCAGCCAAGAATTATAAATGTAATTTCAGTTCCTCAAGCTTCTTGTCTGCAGGTGGGCTTCTTCCAATATATGAAGTGATGCATTGGTGCCTGTGGGATTATTGACAACTTTAAGACATGGATGCTTAGCAGCTGAGTGGCAGATTTGTTTTTGTCTACACTATCAAAATGTTGTATCAGGAAGGGCTCAAAAACAGAGAGTACAGAAAAGTCAGGAAGCAGTCAGAAAAGAACTTGATATTCACCTGTAATTTCCCATATTCATCTATAGCTTTTACTTTTTTGTGTGGTCTCTTTTGTAAGCAATATTTAATTTGCAAAAAGTAAATCTATGTTGCAATATCTGAGATTATCGTCAGCAACTGTTTGACTAGTAGAGGTTCTCCAAGTAATCAAAACTATAAGAACCCCTTCCACTCCACACATTGAACACAGTGGTTATGCTAATTCTAGCATAAGTTGTTGCACAACACACTAAAGAACTTAATTTAACTGATTGTCGTCTTCAATTACTCCTCTTTGTAGACTGTAACAAAACGAATAAATGAAGATTGAAAAAATCAAGCAGAGGATTTACTTGCTTAAAATCATATGCTAAGGACATGCTAAATGTAACGTGATAGAAACAAAACCCATATTATGTTATCTGAAAAAGGACTAAAAGATAAAATCTAGATATTTTCTTTTCTCCTTCAAAAAATGATTAGAAATTGATAGTAAGGGTCATAGTTCTTTACTTCTAATTAAGTTCCAAGTGATGTTTCAAGGGCACTTATTAATTTTTTCAGATAGATAACAAAAAGAATACAGTGAGCACATAAAGAAAAATAACCCAAACCATTATTCTTAAAAGGGTATTTAGATATGATAATGCTCCTTCAGTATTGAGGAAAAAGTAGCAGAATCAAAATCCTTTAAAGTAGAAGAAATCTCCACCAACCAGAAGGGTTTCAAGCATTTTATGAAATTTATTATTCACAGTCTGTGTCTTCAGAAGCATGGCAACGAAGTAAACTCACCCAAAACAAAACAAATGGATATCTTTGTTAAGCAGACAATGTAGAAAGTTCTAGTTTATTTTGAACCAAATGTACTACAGAACTTAGCTTCTGCCCATATTGCTTTTACCTATTCAGCATGCATTAATGCAGCCAATTTACTTGGATAATCTTATCAGCACTCAGTTTATCCTTTCAGCAAGTAGAGAAAATCACAGTAATTTGAGTGGAACATTATTGCCATGATGAAATGTCATTGTTCACTATTTTCCACTTCAAAAAGCAAAAAATGTGCTGATGATACCATAGAAGTAAATTTCTGAAATGAGGAGACCAAAGAAGGAATTAACAAAAAAGTCAAAACATCACGAAATGAAGAATATGATAGATGATAGAAACAAAAGAAGGCTTGCCATTTTTGTTTTACTGTTTCATAATATGTATATAAAAACATACACAAAAAGACTGCTGCTTGTGTGCTTTTATATGTGACTGTTATTGCTGCCATTAATAATCAAAGCAACCTTTTGGGCTTGCAATTCTACCCTGGTTTGCATCAAGAGAAGCGTACCCCTCTACTCTGCTCTCGTGAGAGTACCTGGAGTACTGAAACCAGTTTGGGAGCCCCCAGCACAAGAAGGACATGGAGCTGTTGAAGCAGGTCAAGAGGAGGGCCAAAAAGATGATCAAAGGGCTGGAGCACCTCCACTGTGGGGACAGCCTGAGGGAGCTGGGACTTCAGCCTGGAGAAGAGAAGGCTCTGGAGAGACCTTATAGCGGCATACCAGTACCTGAGGGGGACCTACAGGAAAGCTGGGGAGGAACTCTTTGTAAGAGCACTTAGCAACAGGACAAGGAGAAATGGCTTTTAACTGGAAGAGGGTAGATTTAGACTAGATATTAGGAAGAAATTATTTACTGTGAGGGTGGTGAGACACTGGAACAGGTTGCCCAGAGCAACTGCAGATTTCCCTACCTTGGAAGCATTCAAGGCCAAGCTGGATGGGGTTTTGTGCAACCTGGTCTCTGGGAGGTGTCCCTGCCTACAACAGAGGGGTTGGAGTAGGTGATCTTAAAGGTCCCTTCTAACCCAAACCATTTTATGATTCTATAAACAAGAATTTCTTTGCTCTTCCACTGCTGTCTGCCTATGACAAATTGACATGAGTTAATTTATAAGTATAGGATTTACAACATATATCTATTTGTTAAGTTGAAAGAAATATTCTTTGAAAAAATAAAACATGAAATTCAGTGATTTTTATATGATATTTCCAGCAAGCAAGTGTTGTATTTAATGGAACCAACCCCTTCCAACACATATTTTGTTTGGAGTAGTAAATGATAACTTGCCACTTTTGGTGAGACTACTTGTGCATGCAGTTCACAGGTAGGGCATATTAAAGAAAATTATGAATGCCTGCTAAAATGAAAGGATGATAAGTTAGTTCAAATTCCTAACATTTTTAGCCTATGTAGTAGAGAAAAAATTTGATTTCTACTCTAGTAAGCCCAGAATAGGAGATAGACAGCCCTAGTGATTTTCTAAGAAAAACATAAAAAATAATTGCCAGTTAGTTCTGGTTTTTGTATCATATACAAACAAAGGATTAATTAAAGTTGAAATTTCTGTAATTCATTATCTTCATGCAATCTAATAAAAAAAGTTCTCAGATCTGTGAATTAAATGAACTTATCAAAATATATGACCTGCAGTAATTTTTTTATTTCATTCATTTTATATATTCACTCACAAAAATGTAGTCAGGTAAAATTTCATTTTGTATTTTAGGAGGAGGTTTAGATTAGGTGTCAGAAAGAATTTCTTCGCAGAGAGGTTGGTTAGGCATTGGAACAGGCCACCCAGAGAAGTGGCTGTGTCACCACCCATGGAGGTGCTGTGTAGTCATGACACTTAGGGACGTGGCTTAGTGGTGGAGTTGATAGTGTTACATCATGGTTGGACTTGATGATCTTTAGAGTCTTTGCTAATCCAGGTGATTTTGATTCCATATATGAAAATTATCTGCAAAATACCATGATACATACACAGCACTACTGTGGCTTTTTCATGTATACTCTTCACGTGTCTTCCATGACTTATTCAAACAGGTGACCAGGTTAAACATAATGAACTACATACTTACTTTCCGAGCTCACATACTATCTCAGGTAGATCAGTTGGTAATGGTTTCTCTACAGTCAACTTCAATGCATACCAAAACTCTCCAACCACATCTGATTGGAATATGACACTAAAAACAGATACATAAGATTGATGTCACAAAGCTTTTGTACAGACAAATAAAAATGCAGAGACGAAAAACACAGGAAAAAGTAACAAATTCAACCTAGTGAATTCTTTCATCAGTAGTTTTCTCATAATGCTACTTATCAGTATAGGAATTCATCTATCAATAACCAATTATATTCCCAATTTCTGATGCAAGAAGAAGTCTTCTTCATCTTTCACAACTTTATAAAAAAGAAAACTATGCTAAGGTATAACTCAAAAAATTTGAACTTCTAACTTACAAAAGCAAGCTTTGATTTCCTCTTAATGCTAGAGTGTTTTCTTTTTGCCATTTTGAATTAAAAAAAAAAAAAATCGAAACAGTATTCATTCATTTTAATTTTTCATCTAGTGATGAAAACTGAGAAATAGATACAGATGCATTTACATGAACACAAAAAAGAGAGATGCTTCTAAGGAATATTCAACATACTGTTTTTGTATACAATCACATGTGGTGATGACTAAGAGTTGTAGGTGAGATACATATAGCAGTATGTTTCTGTGACAATCATTCTAATGTACTCCTTACCTACTGCATAGTGTTTTTATTGGGGTGGTTTGGTTTTTTTTGGTTTTTTTTTTCCCTTTTTGGAGTAGGAGCCATAATAAAATTAAAGTAAAGCATTGTAAGTATTATTAAAACTATACACTGTGCAAATTCACAATACACTAAGGACCAGTTTACTTGTTCTAAATGAGAGAGAATGGTGCCTATTTCACAAATGTGAATTTCCAGACTGTCCTCTGTACCAAGCAGAGACTTTAAAGGGAGCATAAACCAGCTTAGAAAAGTATCATCCAGTTGTAAAGGTACAGCTGCCAGAAATACTTCTGCAACATTCTTCTTCCCAGATGGTACCACAGCAAGGGAAACAGAACACATTTATGGAAAAGAAAGATCACAGTATGGCTGTACATAAAGTAAAAGCTCCTTGGGAGCTATTACAAGTACAAAATAACATAATTGCATTGAATATGTAGCTGTGTGCTTTATGTCATCTTTGCACATATTTCCGTTAGTCTCACCCTACCAATCAACTGACATCTATCCCGAAGTTTCATCAGCTTAAACAGATTTTTATGGTATTATTTGGAAATACTACCATATATATAACTTGAAAAATACTGGAAATAATGCATGGCATGAAAAACAGGTGTCTAGTCTAATTTGCACCTTCAGAATACTTTTATTTCTACAACTCTGCTCAGGAGAAAAAAAAAGGAAAAAACAAGACTATAGAGATAACAGTAGTCATTTCTATAAACTGGTATTGCTTGAAAACTGTATTGTGCAATGATATCTGCCATTATTCTGGTCTTTGGAAAAATCAATAGACTCAAACTGAACAAAGACTTTGAAACACATGTGTTTTGGCTCTCAGGATATTAGGACTCTAATCGTCAGTCATCTGTCTCCCTCTGCAAAGACTCTGCTCCCATCCAGCAATGCCTATATTTTTGCTAATTGGTTGATATAACTGGAAAGTATGGGACTGTTTTTCTGTCAGCTCTTTAAATAGTAGGCAAATTCCAGGAAAATTAGTGCTCTCCAGCTACTTGCTGAACTGGTTTAGATGAAACTAAAACCAAGCTGTCATCTGTCTTTGTATTCATAATTATCACTCTACCCAGCCTCTTCTGGATTTCTAATGTAATTAAGCAGTTTTAATTTAAAACCTTTCCATATTCATTAAGTACATCACTTGTAATTAATGGAAAATTTTGAAGCTAAGTGGATTTATGTAAAAACTGTTAAAAGAGTTCTTAACCTGTCTTTAGTTGTGTTGTTACAATTCAGTTCCTTCTGATAAGTAAAATGAAATCATGTTCATCAACATATTGAGCTTATAAAATTACAAAAATCAACAAGTTGTCTAAAGATCTCAGAGGTGAACTCTAATATTAAGTAAATATTCAAATCATTGTTCACTGAATTCTGTTGAAATAGAGTAAGTAGGAGTTATTCCATATTCAGATTTTCCTCCCAGAGGACGGCTGTTTATATGTATACTAAACATTTAAAGTTAGACACATTTTTAATTTCATCTGCTACAACTTTTTTTAGGGTGATATCTACACCAAAGGCCCAAATGATATCATATCAATTCACTTATTAGTACAAGAGGTACAACTACCACAAGTTTCAAAACTCCATAACTTACCTTTCATGTGAAGTGCCAACAACAGCTGGGGAAAACTCTACTTGATAAAAATGTAATTGTTTTGGCAAAAGTGTGAAAGTTTTTTGTCCAGAAAGAGACTGACTCTTCAGCACTACATTCAACTCAAGAACTTCATCTGCAGGATTAGTGACAGGAATATGAATTCCAACAGTATCCTAGGAAGAAAAAATAAAAATAAACAAGTAATTAAAAAAAAAAAGTAAAAACATTTTAAGACCCACACAAAATGAATTTTGAGGGATTACACAAAGATGTCTCTCAAACAAATACAGGATACACACATGATTTATATATACATGATTTGCACTTATGCAAAAACACACTACACTTTTGTTACATGTCTGAACTAACCCAAAAAAAAGAAGTTACAGTAAGACTCAATTCAGTCAATCTTCCAATTTCCTCTTTAATTACATAAATAAGGAAAAGTTCAAGTCTTTCTACAGTCTGCATCAACATCCTTGCTCAAGCAGGGTCTCCTGGACTGTGTCCAGGTAGCTTCTGAATATCTCCAGAGATGGAGGCTACAACCTTTCTGGGCAGTACACAGCAATGCTCAGTCACTCTCACAGTAAAAAGGCTTTTATTTCATATTCAGGCAGAAGCAGTTATTACAAAATATGGGAGTCAGTATGGCCTGATAAGGTAAACGCACACAGATTTTTTACATAGAGCATCTTTAAGATGGACAGTAATTAGGCAGAAGCAGCTCAGTCCACATACATCCACCAACTGCTTTTGAAACTGCTATATTTCCATTGTTTCCAGTGATTCCTTTCTCCCTTCCCTTCTCTGAAGTAACAACATAAATCCATCCTATGAAACCTATTGTATGTAAATAGTAACATACCTTAATACTGCAAGCAAGAAAAAATATATTAATGAAGGAAGTTTAGTGTCACAATTCAAGATATGTTCCTGATGTTGTATAAAATACACAGAATCCCAAACTAAATATATGTGTATACTTTTATGCATCTCTATTTCTATTGCCATTTTGGTCTATTTAATTGTTCTAATCAAGATTATTTCAAAATGTAGATTTTATATTGTTAGGGTGGGGGTTTTTTTTGTTTGTTTGTTTGGTTTTGTTTTTTGTTTTTTTGTTCTTTTTTGTATTTTAAATATACCGTGATTAGGTTCTCACAGCAAAAATTTGCCATATGTACCAATTGAAAAGTAAATAATTAGAACTGCTATATGGAAGGAGAAAAAGGCACAAGTAAAATTACTAATATAAAAAAAAAAAATTGAGCATGAAATACTTTACAACCCCTCACACAGCTTTAAGCCTGCATATGATTTGGTGAATTCCCATATATTTACATTTATAGAAAACGACTGCAGAAACACACACAAAATACATTCAATATTCTACAGATGATAAGATTACACTAAGTTTAAATCCTCCGAGTGCCTTGAATAAGTATGATGGGATTTAAATTTTTAATAAAATATTTTAAAGCTCAGATTAACAGTTTTTACCGTTGCAAACAAAATTCTAAATGTATCTACCATTTTATTCCTAAAGGGTTCATAGCAATTTTATAGTAAAACACTTGTACCTTGTTGAAAAATTACCATGAGAAAGGACATATAGAACTAAAACATACTAAGAATTCTAGCTTCTTAGTCAAAGGAGATACTTATTGCTAAACTGGTCTTAGTGGAAAGCAGCTTTCACTTGCCATTGTCAAATGAATTCCCAAGAAATAGATTTTCTGGAATTTCCTGGGAAATTTGCTTGAAATTCCAGTAAGTATTTCAATAATCTGTTAATTGTATGGATGGTGATAAGAGTACACACGTATGTATCAACAGAGCATGTACATAGTGTATATTTCCAGGGCTTAATTGATTCTTCCAAATCCTTGTTATGGATGTATACCAGTACATTAAATCACAAAATATCCATCCAATGGCCGATAGTATTCTTTTTCATGAAAAGACCTTATACCAGAAGAAATGTGAAGTAGCCATAACATAGGCAGTTCCCAAAGTGGAAACCATGAGGTGAAAGTATTTCCCAGGCTATTGCCACAGAAGAAAATATTTGTAGATAAGTGATTAGAATATTATTTTGACAAGGCTGGGGAGATGAAGCAGAAGAACTTTACTAGTCCAAATCCTCACTCTTTTAGACTGACAAAAACCAAGCATATTCTTTCTCTTGGCTGTCCCTCATGACAAGCAGGAATGTTGCTTATTCAAAGATTGAACTTCCAAAACTGGCAGCAACAATGAAAAAATAGCTATCAATGTCATCATCAGCATATCTGTAACTTACTATGAGGAAGTTAAGATAGAGTTCCCTTTTCCTACAACCTTAAATTGACACTTAATTTCTACTTGATTCCCTTTCTCGGAACAAAAGAAGCTCAAAAGGTGCCTCAGCACTGTTAATGTCAGAGTTTCTGTGCTCTACTGAAAAAAATTTAACCCAAATTTTTGAATTAGTTGTAGAAATCAGAAGAGGCTCTTGGATTGCTTGTACAATATGCCTCGAGTGCACATCTCTCCTCTCCACTGCTCATCCCCTCCACAAAATCTTCTAATCCAGATCCACATTTCTACTCTCCATTTGATACTTCTCCCACTGATCATTCAGACCAATGGAAGACCTTAGCCTCCTATGCTGGAAGAGCTGAGTTCTTCAGTTTCCTACTGACTTGTAGGTTAATGGAATGGATCTTCATCAAGTGAATCACCTAACTTGCCATATGCCTACATTAATTTTTTTTCCCCTCTCTGTGATGTAAACTGGTTGCCAAGACAACCCTCTTTTTTCCTTGTATGTTGACAGACATCAACATTATCATGCTTCTGTGTTTTCGTTTTTTATTTCGCATATTTTGCCTTAAAAAATATCAGTTTGCAAAAAGGCACAAACTGTTTATCAACAGCAACAAAAAAATTTAACCACCTGAAGTGCAGAAGTAAGCATCTTATGTAAATTATGTATTGTTTTGAATCCATTCTTATCACAACTGCAGTACAAGAAATTAACTAGAAGGGAAAAAAAAAAACCAAACTATGCATAAGACATCTAACATTAGAAGTTAATACCATAATTGGTGTTACTGGTCAGAAAGGAAGCAGATGAGGCTTAACAGGAACAAGAGCAGAGTTTTGTACCTAGGGAGGAACAACTGCATGCACCAATGTAGGCTGGGGGTTGAGCTGCTGGAGAGGAGCTCTGCAGAGAAGGACCTGGGTGTTCTGGTGGACTGCAGGTTGGCCATGAGCCAGCAGTGTGCCCTTGTGGCCAAAAAGGCCAATGGCATCCTGGGGTGCATTAAAAAAAGCATGGCCAGCAGGTCGAGGAAGGTGATCCTCCCCCTCTGCTCTGCCCTGGTGAGGCCTCATCTGGAGTACTGCGTGCAGTTCTGGGCTCCCCAGTACAAAAGAGACAGGGATCTCTTGAAAAGAGTCCAGCGGAGGGCCGCAAAGATGGTGAAGGGCCTGGAGTACCTCTATTACAAGGAAAGGATGAATGACCTGGGTCTGTTCAGCCTCGAGAAAAGGTGGCTCAGAGGGGATCTGATCAATGTCTATAAATATCTAAAGTGCAAGCGGCAAATGGACAAGGCCAGACTGTTTTCAGTGGTGCATGGCAGTAGGACAAGAGGAAACATCCACAAACTGAAGCACTGGATGTTCTGCACAAACGTACGTAAGAACTTCTTCACAGTGAGGTGACGGAGCACTGGAACAGGCTGCCCAGGGAGGTTGTGGATTCTCCTTCTCTGGAGACGTTCAAGACCTGCCTGGATGCCTACCTGTGCAGCCTGGTCTAGGGAGCCTGGTTTGTTAGGGGGCTTGGACAAGATAATCTCTAGTTTTCCCTTCCAGTCCCTATAATTCTGTGATTCTGTGATTCTGTAATGAGTTCCAGGTGTAAATTTGCATATAAATTTACATGTTAAAGTCACACTAAATTGAATTTCTGATAGCTGAAATGGGCATTAAGTGTCTAAGTGATAATGCACTAAAACAGATTACAGAGACTATTAGTTCATAAATTATTGCAATAAGTGAACCCTCATAGACTACAAGATTCTACACCATTATCCTCTTAATAGAGACTAGACAGTGTTGCAAGCAAACAAAATGGAAAAAAATGCATTGTAGTCGAATGACTACTAAAAACATCTGAAATTGAAGGAAAGGAGGAGACCAAAAAACTGTTCTATCCTGCGACCCTGTAGAAGTTTAATGCTGGTAAGCATCTATGTACCACACAGTCCATGTGCCCTGCCTGGAGCTGGATAGGTAGAAAAGAATTGGAAGGGCAAAAGTTACAAAACTCAGGGGCTGAGATTAAGACAGATTGACAGGAAAGGGGGTAGACAGGAGGGGAAATGAAAACGAAGGGAAAAAAAAAAAACAGCAACCCAATATCAAATGTAAAAAAAAGGGACACACAATGCAATTTCTCTCCACTAGCCAGCTGATGCCTAGTCAGTCCCTGAGCAATGGTAGTAACCCCTAGCCAACTCCTTCAGTTTTACTGTTAAGTATGACATCATATGGTTTGAAACACCCCTTTGGTTAGCCTTCGACAGCTGTCCTGGTTGTGTCTGCTCCCAGCTTCTTGAGCGCTCCAGCCTGGTCACTGACAGGCAGTCTGAGAAAAGCCCTTGACTCTGCATAAACACTGTTAGTAACAACTAAAATATCATTGTTAACAACATGGTTTTCACCACAAATCCAAGGCCACCTCTGAATCCTTGTCCTCCCTTCTGAGAACACAAGCAGATTTCTTTTTCAGATTCACCAGTGTGACATGAAAAACTATCAGTTACAGCTACTGTTCACCAACCTCTGTACTGAAGATTGGCATTTTTTGTGATCAGTTTAGTTGGCCTATCCACTGCATAAAGTAACCTGAATTATCACAGCTAAAGCAGGTTAGAGAGCAGTATCGAAAACATAACAGTAGGTTAATCTTTCCCATTAGTACCCCCAATATAAAAGGAGACATCTGCTAATATGTTAATGTAGCAAAGGACCAAACTCATCTTCAGAGGATTTTAAAGGAAAATCATTCATATCTATTCCGTCAACACCATTTTTGGGAACTACAACTCAGCAACTGACAGTTTTCTGTGAAGTTTCTATTCATCACTCTCATAGGTAACCTTGCTGTGCAACT